TTGGGTGGGGGGGGGGGGGGGGGGGGGGGGGCCCACTGGTCGTCTGACAATCAGGTTGACGTGATACGAAAAAAAATTAAAATTAAAAAATCAAAAAAAATCAAATGCTCAGAAATAAACACCACCAGCCGCGCCTGTCTCTGCCACGCCGTGTATGATGCTCACTGGCCATTTATCTACCTAGGTACCTAGGTACTTACTCTGCTTGGCCTGAAGGGGCAAATCCGCTCGACTGACAGCTTTTGGAAGGGGGCAGGCATCCCAGTCAGGGAAAGCAAAGAGGCGTGTGCATGACACGGCGACGGTGGGCGGAGGAAAAGGCCACGAGGCGGAGGGAGGGAGATTGTTCGTGTGACGGGTGGTCTGCAAGACAGCAGGGTGACGATGGTGGTTACACGCGAAGAGCAGGTAGGTAGTACGGCGATACGGACTTGGGTGAGCAGGGAGGGTGTGCTCGGGGTAGAGTGTCGGCCATGACGGCTTCTGGTCTTTGGGGATATATCCTGCGTGACGGCGCCGATGGATGCCGAGTTGCATTCTTGCACTTGCACCCGACAGGCCGAGGCAGTTCAAATGTTGTGTATCATTTTCGAGGCTTTTGCGTACTGACTTCTGCCAGGCACTGCTACTGCGTAGAGTAAGTACCTACATGTAAGACGTACCCCCACGGAGTACATATGTACGTACAGCAGCAAGGTACCAGACTTGTCAGCTTGATTGAGATCACGTCAATGGCTGGTGGTAGGTGCGTCCAAGTGCGCTCTGGGGTCCAAACTTAGACATAGGTACTACATACTAGTCGAGTCCAAGGCCACGGAACCAACAGGTAGGTAGCCAATGGTTGGCAATGTTGCCGGGCTGGCCAGCAATATCGGGGAGGTCCAGATGTCCGGTTTTGGAAGCAACGCGGGAACTAGCACGAGGTTGTGTAACGAGGCTATACGCAAAACGAGAGCCGTGCAGGTGCCCGATTGGCCTTGCTCGGATGCCAGGATGTTACGGGACGGGAAAGGGGGGAAGGGGAAAGGGAGAAGGAGGGGGGTGTGAAGAAAGAGTCTGGTAGCTCAAGTTCAGGGCCCAAGGAGCAAGTCTTGGTCTGCATGAGCGAAGCGTGCAGGTAAAAATGTGTGCATGGTGGTTGTACACGGCGTAGAGCGAAGATGGAGTTTCGTCACACGAGGAACTGGAGACTTGGAAAAAGCAGGTGAGGTGCAAAGGGGGCGCCCCCCCCCCCCAAGGAGAGAAGATTGAATGTGGGAAGACGTCAGGTGCACCGTGGCCCTGGGACGGCGTGAAGGGTGGCTGAAAACAGAGTCTTGAGACTAGTGCAAGTGCAGCCGATTCGTCAATCAATTTTTTTTTATAATGGTTGCTGGTTTTCAAAGCTATGTAGTGTAATTATATAGAATCTATCTTGTTTCTCGACGTTGCAGGTTACCAGCGGAGCGACCCACCAAGGCGACCCAATTGCAGAAAGGATTGACCACGTTGAGGAACCGCAACGTCGATGGAAATGGTGAATTGCACCACCCTGCCCCATAGACATGGTTTCGTTGCCGACTACTCGGTAGATCGATCTGGATAATTTCCCCAGTTTGTGACTAGTCGACGGAAACTAAAACGGGAACACGATCAAGCACGCCATGATGCGCGGGCAGGACATGGCTTCATTCATCGCTGGCTGCCGTTAGCACCCGACACCAACGGAGGGGGGGCGTGTGCAAGTTCGGATCGGGTTGCCGACGCTGTTCTCTGAGCCCTGGGACGGCGCCATGGGAACTAGATACTAGATCCAGAACTAGAAATAGAAACAGAGTCAGAATCAAAGCCAGGACTAAGTAGTTCGAGGGGGAAAGGTGGGCAGGCATAGCGACTAAAAAGGCGCCCGCGCCGGTTGATCTTCTGGTTCGAAAAACGGGGGGCCACTTGGCGAAACGGCGGCGGCGGCATCTAAATTGGCGACTCAAGATGGCAATGCGAGCGATAGAGGCTTGAGCGAGGCTGTTTCTAGCGGCTGACTAGGGGGCTAGTTGGTCTATGTATAACCGTGACGAACTAACGGCCTGCGATGTGATAATATCCGGATGGATGGATATAGGTGTGGAGAGGCAGGCGAAATGTTGCTTCAATGTCGGTGCTTGCCTCGGTCAACCACAGGTTACCGGGGACCTACCAAGTCGCTACCGTGGACGAGACACGGACTGACTGGCGAATGTTCCATGTTGGACCGCGGCTGCGTCTGGTAGCACTAGAGGGAATAAATAAAGCACCAGACCAGACCAGTCCAGTCAGACATGGACACTCTCACTTCACGTTCCCAGAAGTGCGGTCTGGTTTAGGTACCTGGGTAAAGTAGTTGGCTACTCCATAGAGCACATGTGCAGGTCCCGCCCCCAGGTGGCCCCTGTAACCTTCATGTTGGGAAGGTGCAATCAATCTACAGACTAGACAGGCAACAGGGTGCCTCCCATGCCGCAAAGTGCCCAGTGCATGTCAAGTGCCATCCATGTGCCTCCAGATGTCGTACCCCCGACCCCAGTCGTCACTGACCTGCCTGGGTAGGTACCTAGGCACCTAACACCTGGTCGTTCGGCCCCAGGTGGCCCCCTGCTAGCTCCAGCTGTCAACTGCTCACTTGTGCATGCGGTCGCTTTTGCTCCGTTCTCCGTACCTGCGTATGTACTTGGTCATTGGTTATTTATTTCCACATCCATTATACAATAATCCACTGTTATGTTGACATCACGCATCCTGGCCCGCACTTTATCCACTGCACATCACCACTATGCTTTTTGTTACCTTGATCACCTACCACAGTGAACGCCGTAGTAAGCAATGACACGTATACGCGATGCTGGAATTGGCCTTGCCCTTTCCAGCCCAGCCTGTTTTTGCGACTAGTGCCCCGGCTACACTGTGCGAAACTCCATTTTGCTATACGGCCCGATATATCGCATCACCACCCACTGTCCATCATCAGCAAACAACTTGGAACTAACTTGAATTCATCTTCATCATACCCCCCC